GAATGGAACCCAGGACTCCTGACTCTGAGTCCTCCCTGTGAAACCCATAAGATCCATAACTCCCCTCCCAGGCCCAGGACACCCAGCTCTCCCCCTGCTCTAACCACTAGACCCCACTTCCCTCCCCGAACTGGACAGAGAACCCAGCAGTCCTGACCGCCAGCCCCGCCCACCGCTCACCGGAGCAGGTTCCCCTCGGGCGACGCTTCCCCAACGGTGAGTCCGCGGAGGCTGAGTCTGCGGGCAGGAGCTGCATCCCCCTTGGCCGGTTCCTGCCCGTCCAGCTGGGGCTGGTGGCTGGCCCCATAGTGCTCCTGCAGCCAGCGCAGCGGCACGGCCCTGTTGACGGGCTGGGAGACCACAGCGCCCGAGGTCTCCGAGACGGGCTTGCGGTTGCCCACGTAGAAGCGCACCAGGGCCGGCACGTTGTCAAACTGGTCCTGCTCAAACTGGAAGAGGGTGCGGGAGTAGCCCAGGCGGGGGCGCAGCACCACCCGGATGATCTTGAAGTGCAGGGTCTCGCCCCGCCACCGGCAGGACAGCACGTAGTCCCCCCGGCTGGAGCCTGAGTCCCGGATCAGGAAATCCCCGTCCTCCGCCAGCAGGGACTCCGCCTCCTGGGAAGACAGGGGCTGTTCACTGGTGGGGATGGTGGGCAGTGGGGTCTAGTGGTTAGCGCAGTTGGGGCTGGGAGTCAGGATTCCTGGATTCTCAGCTCTGGGAAGGGAGCGGAGTCTAGTGGTTAGAGTGGGAGGGTGGGGAGCTGGGAGTCAGGTCTCCTGGGTTCCATCCCCAACTCTAGGAGGAGAGTAGAATCTAGTGGTTAGAGCAGCAGGTGGCTGGGAGTCAGGACTCCTGGGTTCCATCTCTATCTCTGGGAGGAGAGTAGAATCTAGTGGTTAGAGCAGCAGGTGGCTGGGAGTCAGGACTCCTGGGTTCCCAGCTCTGGGAGGGGAGCAGAGTCAGGACTCCTGGATTCCATCTCCATCTCTGGGAGGGAAGTGGGGTCTAGTGGTTAGAGCGGTGGGGGGGCTGGGAGTCAGGACTCCTGGGTTCCATCCCCAGCTCTGTCACAGGCTCCCCGTGCGACCTTGGTCAAGTCACTTCCCCTCCCTGCACCTCGGGTTTCCCATCATCCAACAGGGACACTCCCGGGGCCAGCTGGACTCAGCTGGGGCCTCTGGGCACTACCATAAAACACCTAATAGACCAGCATTGCGGGTACCTCCCGTGGCAGGCAGCCGTGGTACCACGCGTGGCTCCGCAGCTCATCCGTGCTGAGCTTCAGCTCCTCCTCCAGCTCCTTCCTGAGCTTCTCCTTGGCCGAATCCATGGTCACTCCGCTCAGGCCACCTGGGCAGCAAAAGGTCAGAGGTCAGCAATAGCATCTTCCTCCCATGGGCTGGTTCCCCCAGAGTGGCTCATTCCCATGAAGCCCGACCTTTCCCAGCCTCAGGACCCGGCAGTTTCCTACCAGAGCAGACAGGGATCCTCCCCCGGCCCCCAGCAACCCCTCCCTTGCCACTGCTTGCAGGACTTTGCCCCTCACTCCTGCCCGGCCATCCATTAACCCCTTCTGTGCTTGGTGCTCTAGCACAACAGGCCGCCTCTGCTCCCGTAACCAATCCACAGGCTGGGTGAGCGTGTCCCGGTGCCAGTGGGAACCCCAACGCGCAGGCCTCCTGGGCCGCGACAAGCACCAGCACCTCTCACACCCCCATTGTGCATCACAATCACACCCGGAGCCGTCCACCACGCTCGGACACTGCTCGGCCAGGCGCTGCAGGGACAGCGAGAGCCAGCTGGGATCAGGGCCCCGTGGGCCGGGCGGTGCACAGACACAGCGAGAGACAGACCCTGCCCCAGCTGGGATCAGGGCCCCGTTGGGCCGGGCGCTGCTCAGACACAGCGAGAGACAGACCCTGCCCCAGCTGGGATCAGGGCCCCGTTGGGCCGGGCGCTGCTCAGACACAGCGAGAGACAGACCCTGCCCCAGCTGGGATCAGGGCCCCGTTGGGCCGGGCGCTGCTCAGACACAGCGAGAGACAGACCCTGCCCCAGCTGGGATCAGGGCCCCGTTGGGCCGGGCGCTGCTCAGACACAGCGAGAGACAGACCCTGCCCCAGCTGGGATCAGGGCCCCGTTGGGCCGGGCGCTGCTCAGACACAGCGAGAGACAGACCCTGCCCCAGCTGGGATCAGGGCCCCGTTGGGCCGGGCGCTGCTCAGACACAGCGAGAGACAGACCCTGCCCCAGCTGGGATCAGGGCCCCGTTGGGCCGGGCGCTGCTCAGACACAGCGAGAGACAGACCCTGCCCCAGCTGGGATCAGGGCCCCGTTGGGCCGGGCGCTGCTCAGACACAGCGAGAGACAGACCCTGCCCCAGCTGGGATCAGGGCCCCGTTGGGCCGGGCGCTGCTCAGACACAGCGAGAGACAGACCCTGCCCCAGCTGGGATCAGGGCCCCGTTGGGCCGGGCGCTGCTCAGACACAGCGAGAGACAGACCCTGCCCCAGCTGGGATCAGGGCCCCGTTGGGCCGGGCGCTGCTCAGACACAGCGAGAGACAGACCCTGCCCCAGCCGGGATCAGGGCCCCGTTGCACCGGGCGCTGCTCACAGGGAGCAATAGATCCAATGGGGAAAGGCAGGGCAACAATCCCTCCTCTCGCTTTGCCTCTTAGACCGTGAGTTCTTCAGGGCAGACGCTCTCCGGCTGGTCTCAGCGGAGGCCGGCGCAGCGCTCAGCACAGCGGCAGGGTGCAGGGGGAGGCAATGCTGGTCAGGGCCTCTAGACCAGGGGTTCTCAGTTCTTTTCTCTCCTAGGCCCCCCCACCCCAGTATAAACTCCCTGGCCCAGCTGTGCCACAACAACCAGGTTTCTGCAGACACAAGCCAGGGCCACTGTTGGGGGAGACAAGCGGGGGAATTGCCCACATGCTGGTGGGGAAACTGAGGCACAGTGGGCCCCAGGAAGCTAAGATGGTCAGGCTTTAGCTTCAGCCCCCAGTGGCTCATGGCTCTGGGGCTTTGGCTTTCTGGGCCCTAGCATATCTAACACCAGCCACGCCTGGCAGCTCCCCTGACCCCTGCTCGCAGCCCCCAGGGGCCCCCGGGTGAGAGCCACTGCTCTAGACTCTGCTGCAGCAGACACTAGTCCCGCCTGTTCTGTGGGTTACGCGGGGGGGGCCGAGCCGAGAGGCTGAGGAAGAGGAAGGGGGAGTGGAAAGAGCGACCTGCCCAAAGCAGCCGTGGCACAGAATCCTCTCCGCTCCCTTTCCCCGGCTGGGAGCCGGCCTGCTCACCCGCGCCAGAGGAGACTGGCCCTCGGGATGGGACCCTCCTGTCCCCACGGCGGATCCTCCGGACTCTCTGCTCGGGGCGGGCCCCTTCCGGTTCACGCAGCTCCTTGCCTAGGCAGGTTATCAGGCGCGGAGCACACCTTGGGATGCCTGGGCGCTGAGTCAGCCGCACTGGGAGCCCGCCAGCAGCCCGTGACCCCTGCAGGCCGGAAGAGTTCCAGCCCAGCGAGCCGGGCCCGTGGTGCAGTTACAACCGTCTGGCGGGGGCCAGAGCCTCGGCGCAGGGGGCCAGTCTGCACTCCGGCTTAGGTAGGAGAGGGAAATGCCCCTGCAGGATTGCCCTGCAGCCAGCGGGCGCCTCCCAAGGTCACTGCACCCTGGGGCCCCGCATGCTCCTTACGGCACCTCCCCACGCAGCCAGGGCTCCTGCTGACCTGCCCTGCTCCCCACAGCACCCCCCACAGCCAGGCCTCCTGCCCCGCTCCCCACGGCGCCCCCTGCTGGGAGAGACAGGGACTGGCACAGCCAGCCCCCCACAGCCAGGCCTCCTGCCCTGCTCCCCACGGCGCCCCCTGCTGGGAGAGACAGGGATTGGCACAGCCAGCCCCCCACAGCCAGGCCTCCTGCCCTGCTCCCCACGGCGCCCCCTGCTGGGAGAGACAGGGATTGGCACAGCCAGCCCCCCACAGCCAGGCCTCCTGCCCTGCTCCCCACGGCGCCCCCTGCTGGGAGAGACAGGGATTGGCACAGCCAGCCCCCCACAGCCAGGCCTCCTGCCCTGCTCCCCACGGCGCCCCCTGCTGGGAGAGACAGGGATTGGCACAGCCAGCCCCCCACAGCCAGGCCTCCTGCCCTGCTCCCCACGGCGCCCCCTGCTGGGAGAGACAGGGATTGGCACAGCCAGCCCCCCACAGCCAGGCCTCCTGCCCTGCTCCCCACGGCGCCCCCTGCTGGGAGAGACAGGGATTGGCACAGCCAGCCCCCCACAGCCAGGCCTCCTGCCCTGCTCCCCACGGCGCCCCCTGCTGGGAGAGACAGGGATTGGCACAGCCAGCCCCCCACAGCCAGGCCTCCTGCCCTGCTCCCCACGGCGCCCCCTGCTGGGAGAGACAGGGATTGGCACAGCCAGCCCCCCACAGCCAGGCCTCCTGCCCTGCTCCCCACGGCGCCCCCTGCTGGGAGAGACAGGGATTGGCACAGCCAGCCCCCCACAGCCAGGCCTCCTGCCCTGCTCCCCACGGCGCCCCCTGCTGGGAGAGACAGGGATTGGCACAGCCAGCCCCCCACAGCCTGACAGGAGCAGCCCACATTGCCCCAGTGTTGCTTCTGCAAGAGGCAGCAGATGGATCACAAGCTCAATGGGCCACCAACTGAGCCTTTCAGCTCCCTCTGCCCCCGGGCCCACACCAGCTCTCTGCTCACCCAGCCCCTGGGGCCCACGTGTCTCTCAGTATCCCCGGGCCGCACATGGGAACCCCCTGATCACGCCCTTCCTAACACGCTCCTGTGCCGGGAGCGCACCTCGGAGCAGTGGTTCTGTCCAGGGCCCAATGGGGGAGCTGTGAGCAGCTTCCAGGGGTCCACATTAGACTCCCTGGGGCCCTGTATTGCCTGCTTGCTACGCCCCAATGCCCGCCTGGCTTTGAATCTACCAGCCATGCAGAAAAACTGTTGTTGTGACACAGGTGGGCCCTGCGATTTTTCTAGATAGGGCCCTTCCAAATTCATGGTTCTCTTTTGTCAGTTTCATGGTCACGGGATTTTTTAAATGATAAATGTCGTGATTTCAGCGATTTACAAGTGAAGTGTCCCGGTGATGTCATTGTAGGGGGCTTGGCCCACAAAGGGTTGTGGGGTGGGAGAGGTCCCAAGGTTGTGTGTGGGGGGGTCCTGCTCCCCTTACTTCTGTGCTGTGCCTGGGGGCGGCGCTGCCTTCAGAGCTGGGCACCTGGCCATCCAGCTCCGAAGGCAGCGCAGACGGGCCGATGCCAGAACCTCCCCCACCTTGCGACCAGTGTCCCCTGTGTGCGGTTCAGGAGAGATTCAAATGCTGCTCGGCTGATTAGCAGAGCACCCACTGGCAGGTTTTTTTGGTTCTCCTGGTGGTGCACATTCGCACATACCTTGGGGCACCTAAGATTTATTCCACACATGGATGGCAAAATGAGTGGGCACACAGGCTGTGATCCGTGCACGTCTCTTTTGGGTGAGTCTCCCCCTGTGCAATCAGTAGCGTACAGGATATAGGGTCAAAGTGCACCCACCACAGGGGTGGAGACGGATCTCATGATCCATGACGTGTTTTTCAAGGCGGTGAATTTGGTAGGGCCCTAGCTAGAGCCTGTTGGCGGAAGGGGAGCAGGGCTGCTCAGAAGCAGAAAAGCTGAGACCCCCTGTGCCAGTCCCACTGGACGGACACGCCGTCCCCTTTGCACGACACGCCGCAGCTGCAGGTTGGGATGCCAATCCCACGCCTCCTCCCAGGGGGGCCAGGTGCCCCCAGGATCTTGCTGTGGCCGTTGAACATCATCCTAGGAGCCCCAAACAATCAGGGTTGCTGCGAGTCTGTGAAGCCCCATGAATTAGCGTGAGGACGGGGCAGCTTGCCTAGCTAGGCGAGGCCTGAAACAACCAGAGAACCAGGAAGTGGGGAGAGGACATAGGGCAATGCAGGGGGAAGGGTCTGGCGAGGAAACCCACCCACTCTGCCCACCTGCTCGGGAGTAAGGAGGGTTCTTACTGTGGTGACTGCTCCAAAGCCCTCCTCCATAGGACTCCCAACACCAGATGGGAAGGATCGCCCAGTGGAAGGGGCATTAGCTTAGGAACTGGGGAATCCGCCACTCATCCCTCAATGTTTCTGGGCCCCCCTCAACACCGCGAGACCACCAGCGCCTTCTCTCCCTGCCTAGTAGCAGGGAAGCTGACTTGATTCTGGTCCTTTTCGGGGATCTGCAATTCACCAGGGTGCAGTCAATATCACTCTGCTTGGCACAATCATAGAATCATAGAATCTTAGAACTGGAAGAGACCTCAGAAGGTCGTCAAGTCCAGCCCCCTGCTCTAGGCAGGACCAATTCCAACTAAATCAACCCGGCCAGGGCTTTGTCAAGCCGAGACTTAAACACCTCTAGGGATGGAGACTCCACTACTTCCCTAGGTAACCCATCCCAGTGCTTCACCACCCTCCTAGTGAAATAGCCCGGTGGCTAGGTTTGTAATTCATGCTTCAGTTCGGAAAAAAAGCAAAAAGCAAAAACCGTGCCTCCCAGCGCTTCCACTCAGCTGTGGCGAGCGGAATTCTAAAGCCCCGATTAAATACAATGCAAACAACTCAGCAACCCAGGACACCACCTTAAAGTCAACAAGGAGTCTCTAGGACATGTGACACGCCTCAGAGCGGTCGCCAGGTCAGTCTGTAGCTGCAAAAACAGCCAGGAGTCTGGTGGCACCTTAAAGACTAACAGATTTATTTGGGAACAAGATTTTGCGGGCAAAGACCACTTTTGCCCACCAAAGCTTGTGCCCAAATAAATGTTAGGCTTTTCGGTGCCAACAGACTCCTCATTGTTGCTTCGATTTGTGGGCATTTGTTTTTAACCCAGGAGGCCGTGCTGTGCATCTGTCTCTCTCACTCCCCCAGAAATCTCCCTAACAGGTTTTTTTAAAACGAGTAACTTTTTGGTTTGTTTGTTTAATCGGAACATTTTCAGAAGTTTCTTTCCCACGTTGCTTCCCGTTCCGAACAGCAGAGGAGAGAACAGACGTTCTGGCCCCTGCTATAGGCACGGTTGTCGTCTTTACGATCAGTAACTCTCCCCTGTGTTGGAAGGGAAGATTGAGATGCACTGGAAGGTCCATTAGTAAGAAATACTGCATGAGAGAATTTTCAGAATTCTTACTCACAGTCCCACCTCATGCCCCTAACAAAGACCAGGATCCTACTGCTCCAGGAATTGCATAAACACGTGGGAAGAGACGGTTCTTCCCCTGGAGATCTGACAATCTAAACAGACAAGACAAAGAAAGCTCTTGATCCTCATTTTACAATCGGAGCACTGAGGGTCAGAGGGATGAAGTGACTCACTCAAAGGATTTATGAGAATTCCCAGGGCAGCACTGACCCCACAAGCCCACCCTGTTCTCCTTTTTCCTCCCAGCCGTCCTGCCTCAGGTTTCCAATGTATCCAATGCAGCACAATTTCTCTCTCCCCCCATCCACCCGCCCAGGTTCTGAGCCCGGAGCCTGCCTTTGGCTCGTCTCTGCTTGTTGTGCATGTATGTTACTGTGGAAAAGCAAGATCCACTGCTCCGGACAGTGTCCTAACTTAGCCTGACCCCACCCGCAGGAGCCTGTGATGACAAAGCCGGAGCACCGAAAGTCGCATCATTCCGCCCACAATGAGAGAGGAGGTGCAGAGCCAGTTGGGCAACTGGGCAGGGTGGCAGGATGCTGGCTTGGATGGGCCCATTGCTCTGACCCGGGGCGAGGGCAGGGGGTTGGTGGAATTCCAGGCGCGACGGGCGCATGGGCTGATCCTGCATCACAGTCCCCGCCCTGAACCCCGTGGTAAGCCGCAACACAGGGGCCTTGTGACGCCGTCACTTTCCTGGCTCTCTCCAGCCTAATCTTCCAGCCCAGCCCCACGGCCCAGGACCTGCCCACCCAGCCCAGGGCGTGGGAACCCCTGCCGGCCCTGCAGCTCCATCCTGGGGAATCCAAACACAAAGGGCTGGCCCGGCCGCACAATGGAGAGGAAATCCGCCGCCCTGGTGCGCTTCCCCCCAGCTCCTGCTGCAGGCCTTGCTAGCTGGAGCAACCCTGGATAACCGAGCCAGTCCGACTGCAGGAAGGAAGCCGGTCACCCAAAACGGGATATAACACGTGTGTGCTGTCGGAGCAACTGCAGCTGCTGCCTCCATCACAGCCCACGCGCCCGCTAATCCTTTCCAGACATGTGTGGAATAAATGTTGCGATGTGCACCGAGGGATGTGTGAATGTGCACCGCCAGCAGAAACACAAACCTAGCGGTGAGTGTGATGCTACACAGCTGGGTGGCACTGGAATGTCTCCTGAGCGGCCACCCACGCGCCCAGCTCACAGAGGGCACTGGTTGCAGCCCGGGAGGTTAAATATCAGGTAATTGAATAGTCGAGTTATCTCGTGAATTCTTATTGGTTAGTCGACTATTGTATAGTCCCCGGGGGTGGGGCTGGCAGCCAGTGCGCTCTGGCCTCTCTCTCGAGGAGAGATACAGAGGCAGCAGTGTGGGTGCCAGGCGGTAGTTGGTCCGCAAGGGGAGCCAGTTTAAAAACCAGCTGCCCTCGCAGACCAGCAGCCTGCCACCCCGCATTGCTGCCTCTGATACCGAGGCAGCAACCCCTGTCCGGGGGGGGTGGGTCTGAGCTCCTGGACCTGAAGCGAGCGGGAACTGAGCCAAGCTGCCCGCCCACCCGCCTACCTCCTAGTACACTTTAAATGCAAAGCCGCAGAGGGGGTAGGACCCGGACCCGGCTCAAGCCAGGACTGAGCCCGGCTTCTGACCAACCTGCTAAAAAAATATACCGGTGGGGGAGGGGGATGCGTGTTGTCTATGGCATTAACCTAGAGGCTTTAGCTTATCGGTTAATCGGTTAGCCGACTACATATTACATCCCTAGTTGCAGCCTGTGTGAATCACCCCAGCCAGGCCTGGGTGGGCACCACCTCCCAGCTGACCCACAGGCTGGCCAAGTTCTGATGCCCCCACGCAGATCCCAGGCCGCCTTTGAGGGCAGATCCAGGATACCCCGAGGGTATTTCCCGCACACAGATGGTCAATGAGCCAGCGCCCCCTTCCAAGGGCTGGCTGGCGGGTGGTGAGCCCGCGGGTGTGAGCTGGGTGTGAGCCGCGGTGTGTCGGTGTGACTGTGCTAGTGAGCCTGTGAGTGTGAGCTGGGTGTGGGCAGGAGTGTGTCGGTGTCACTGTGCTAGTGAGCATGCGACTGTGTTCTGGGTGTGAGCTGGAGTGTGTCGACGTCACTGTGCTAGTGAGCCCGCGGGTGTGAGCTGGGTGTGAGCCGCGGTGTGTCGGTGTGACTGTGCTAGTGAGCCTGTGAGTGTGAGCTGGGTGTGGGCAGGAGTGTGTCGGTGTCACTGTGCTAGTGAGCATGCGACTGTGTTCTGGGTGTGAGCTGGAGTGTGTCGACGTCACTGTGCTAGTGAGCCCGCGGGTGTGAGCTGGGTGTGAGCCGCGGTGTGTCGGTGTGACTGTGCTAGTGAGCCTGTGAGTGTGAGCTGGGTGTGGGCAGGAGTGTGTCGGTGTCACTGTGCTAGTGAGCATGCGACTGTGTTCTGGGTGTGAGCTGGAGTGTGTCGACGTCACTGTGCTAGTGAGCCCGCGGGTGTGAGCTGGGTGTGAGCCGCGGTGTGTCGGTGTGACTGTGCTAGTGAGCCTGTGAGTGTGAGCTGGGTGTGGGCAGGAGTGTGTCGGTGTCACTGTGCTAGTGAGCATGCGACTGTGTTCTGGGTGTGAGCTGGAGTGTGTCGACGTCACTGTGCTAGTGAGCCCGCGGGTGTGAGCTGGGTGTGAGCCGCGGTGTGTCGGTGTGACTGTGCTAGTGAGCCTGTGAGTGTGAGCTGGGTGTGGGCAGGAGTGTGTCGGTGTCACTGTGCTAGTGAGCATGCGACTGTGTTCTGGGTGTGAGCTGGAGTGTGTCGACGTCACTGTGCTAGTGAGCCCGCGGGTGTGAGCTGGGTGTGAGCCGCGGTGTGTCGGTGTGACTGTGCTAGTGAGCCTGTGAGTGTGAGCTGGGTGTGGGCAGGAGTGTGTCGGTGTCACTGTGCTAGTGAGCATGCGACTGTGTTCTGGGTGTGAGCTGGAGTGTGTCGACGTCACTGTGCTAGTGAGCCCGCGGGTGTGAGCTGGGTGTGAGCCGCGGTGTGTCGGTGTGACTGTGCTAGTGAGCCTGTGAGTGTGAGCTGGGTGTGGGCAGGAGTGTGTCGGTGTCACTGTGCTAGTGAGCATGCGACTGTGTTCTGGGTGTGAGCTGGAGTGTGTCGACGTCACTGTGCTAGTGAGCCCGCGGGTGTGAGCTGGGTGTGAGCCGCGGTGTGTCGGTGTGACTGTGCTAGTGAGCCTGTGAGTGTGAGCTGGGTGTGGGCAGGAGTGTGTCGGTGTCACTGTGCTAGTGAGCATGCGACTGTGTTCTGGGTGTGAGCTGGAGTGTGTCGACGTCACTGTGCTAGTGAGCCCGCGGGTGTGAGCTGGGTGTGAGCCGCGGTGTGTCGGTGTGACTGTGCTAGTGAGCCTGTGAGTGTGAGCTGGGTGTGGGCAGGAGTGTGTCGGTGTCACTGTGCTAGTGAGCATGCGACTGTGTTCTGGGTGTGAGCTGGAGTGTGTCGACGTCACTGTGCTAGTGAGCCCGCGGGTGTGAGCTGGGTGTGAGCCGCGGTGTGTCGGTGTGACTGTGCTAGTGAGCCTGTGAGTGTGAGCTGGGTGTGGGCAGGAGTGTGTCGGTGTCACTGTGCTAGTGAGCATGCGACTGTGTTCTGGGTGTGAGCTGGAGTGTGTCGACGTCACTGTGCTAGTGAGCCCGCGGGTGTGAGCTGGGTGTGAGCCGCGGTGTGTCGGTGTGACTGTGCTAGTGAGCCTGTGAGTGTGAGCTGGGTGTGGGCAGGAGTGTGTCGGTGTCACTGTGCTAGTGAGCATGCGACTGTGTTCTGGGTGTGAGCTGGAGTGTGTCGACGTCACTGTGCTAGTGAGCCCGCGGGTGTGAGCTGGGTGTGAGCCGCGGTGTGTCGGTGTGACTGTGCTAGTGAGCCTGTGAGTGTGAGCTGGGTGTGGGCAGGAGTGTGTCGGTGTCACTGTGCTAGTGAGCATGCGACTGTGTTCTGGGTGTGAGCTGGAGTGTGTCGACGTCACTGTGCTAGTGAGCCCGCGGGTGTGAGCTGGGTGTGAGCCGCGGTGTGTCGGTGTGACTGTGCTAGTGAGCCTGTGAGTGTGAGCTGGGTGTGGGCAGGAGTGTGTCGGTGTCACTGTGCTAGTGAGCATGCGACTGTGTTCTGGGTGTGAGCTGGAGTGTGTCGACGTCACTGTGCTAGTGAGCCCGCGGGTGTGAGCTGGGTGTGAGCCGCGGTGTGTCGGTGTGACTGTGCTAGTGAGCCTGTGAGTGTGAGCTGGGTGTGGGCAGGAGTGTGTCGGTGTCACTGTGCTAGTGAGCATGCGACTGTGTTCTGGGTGTGAGCTGGAGTGTGTCGACGTCACTGTGCTAGTGAGCCCGCGGGTGTGAGCTGGGTGTGAGCCGCGGTGTGTCGGTGTGACTGTGCTAGTGAGCCTGTGAGTGTGAGCTGGGTGTGGGCAGGAGTGTGTCGGTGTCACTGTGCTAGTGAGCATGCGACTGTGTTCTGGGTGTGAGCTGGAGTGTGTCGACGTCACTGTGCTAGTGAGCCCGCGGGTGTGAGCTGGGTGTGAGCCGCGGTGTGTCGGTGTGACTGTGCTAGTGAGCCTGTGAGTGTGAGCTGGGTGTGGGCAGGAGTGTGTCGGTGTCACTGTGCTAGTGAGCATGCGACTGTGTTCTGGGTGTGAGCTGGAGTGTGTCGACGTCACTGTGCTAGTGAGCCCGCGGGTGTGAGCTGGGTGTGAGCCGCGGTGTGTCGGTGTGACTGTGCTAGTGAGCCTGTGAGTGTGAGCTGGGTGTGGGCAGGAGTGTGTCGGTGTCACTGTGCTAGTGAGCATGCGACTGTGTTCTGGGTGTGAGCTGGAGTGTGTCGACGTCACTGTGCTAGTGAGCCCGCGGGTGTGAGCTGGGTGTGAGCCGCGGTGTGTCGGTGTGACTGTGCTAGTGAGCCTGTGAGTGTGAGCTGGGTGTGGGCAGGAGTGTGTCGGTGTCACTGTGCTAGTGAGCATGCGACTGTGTTCTGGGTGTGAGCTGGAGTGTGTCGACGTCACTGTGCTAGTGAGCCCGCGGGTGTGAGCTGGGTGTGAGCCGCGGTGTGTCGGTGTGACTGTGCTAGTGAGCCTGTGAGTGTGAGCTGGGTGTGGGCAGGAGTGTGTCGGTGTCACTGTGCTAGTGAGCATGCGACTGTGTTCTGGGTGTGAGCTGGAGTGTGTCGACGTCACTGTGCTAGTGAGCCCGCGGGTGTGAGCTGGGTGTGAGCCGCGGTGTGTCGGTGTGACTGTGCTAGTGAGCCTGTGAGTGTGAGCTGGGTGTGGGCAGGAGTGTGTCGGTGTCACTGTGCTAGTGAGCATGCGACTGTGTTCTGGGTGTGAGCTGGAGTGTGTCGACGTCACTGTGCTAGTGAGCCCGCGGGTGTGAGCTGGGTGTGAGCCGCGGTGTGTCGGTGTGACTGTGCTAGTGAGCCTGTGAGTGTGAGCTGGGTGTGGGCAGGAGTGTGTCGGTGTCACTGTGCTAGTGAGCATGCGACTGTGTTCTGGGTGTGAGCTGGAGTGTGTCGACGTCACTGTGCTAGTGAGCCCGCGGGTGTGAGCTGGGTGTGAGCCGCGGTGTGTCGGTGTGACTGTGCTAGTGAGCCTGTGAGTGTGAGCTGGGTGTGGGCAGGAGTGTGTCGGTGTCACTGTGCTAGTGAGCATGCGACTGTGTTCTGGGTGTGAGCTGGAGTGTGTCGACGTCACTGTGCTAGTGAGCCCGCGGGTGTGAGCTGGGTGTGAGCCGCGGTGTGTCGGTGTGACTGTGCTAGTGAGCCTGTGAGTGTGAGCTGGGTGTGGGCAGGAGTGTGTCGGTGTCACTGTGCTAGTGAGCATGCGACTGTGTTCTGGGTGTGAGCTGGAGTGTGTCGACGTCACTGTGCTAGTGAGCCCGCGGGTGTGAGCTGGGTGTGAGCCGCGGTGTGTCGGTGTGACTGTGCTAGTGAGCCTGTGAGTGTGAGCTGGGTGTGGGCAGGAGTGTGTCGGTGTCACTGTGCTAGTGAGCATGCGACTGTGTTCTGGGTGTGAGCTGGAGTGTGTCGACGTCACTGTGCTAGTGAGCCCGCGGGTGTGAGCTGGGTGTGAGCCGCGGTGTGTCGGTGTGACTGTGCTAGTGAGCCTGTGAGTGTGAGCTGGGTGTGGGCAGGAGTGTGTCGGTGTCACTGTGCTAGTGAGCATGCGACTGTGTTCTGGGTGTGAGCTGGAGTGTGTCGACGTCACTGTGCTAGTGAGCCCGCGGGTGTGAGCTGGGTGTGAGCCGCGGTGTGTCGGTGTGACTGTGCTAGTGAGCCTGTGAGTGTGAGCTGGGTGTGGGCAGGAGTGTGTCGGTGTCACTGTGCTAGTGAGCATGCGACTGTGTTCTGGGTGTGAGCTGGAGTGTGTCGACGTCACTGTGCTAGTGAGCCCGCGGGTGTGAGCTGGGTGTGAGCCGCGGTGTGTCGGTGTGACTGTGCTAGTGAGCCTGTGAGTGTGAGCTGGGTGTGGGCAGGAGTGTGTCGGTGTCACTGTGCTAGTGAGCATGCGACTGTGTTCTGGGTGTGAGAAGGGGTGTGTCGGTATCACTGTGCTAGTGAGCCCGCGGGTGTGAGCTGGGTGTGAGCCGCGGTGTGTCGGTGTGACTGTGCTAGTGAGCCTGTGAGTGTGAGCTGGGTGTGGGCAGGAGTGTGTCGGTGTCACTGTGCTAGTGAGCATGCGACTGTGTTCTGGGTGTGAGCTGGAGTGTGTCGACGTCACTGTGCTAGTGAGCCCGCGGGTGTGAGCTGGGTGTGAGCCGCGGTGTGTCGGTGTGACTGTGCTAGTGAGCCTGTGAGTGTGAGCTGGGTGTGGGCAGGAGTGTGTCGGTGTCACTGTGCTAGTGAGCATGCGACTGTGTTCTGGGTGTGAGCTGGAGTGTGTCGACGTCACTGTGCTAGTGAGCCCGCGGGTGTGAGCTGGGTGTGAGCCGCGGTGTGTCGGTGTGACTGTGCTAGTGAGCCTGTGAGTGTGAGCTGGGTGTGGGCAGGAGTGTGTCGGTGTCACTGTGCTAGTGAGCATGCGACTGTGTTCTGGGTGTGAGCTGGAGTGTGTCGACGTCACTGTGCTAGTGAGCCCGCGGGTGTGAGCTGGGTGTGAGCCGCGGTGTGTCGGTGTGACTGTGCTAGTGAGCCTGTGAGTGTGAGCTGGGTGTGGGCAGGAGTGTGTCGGTGTCACTGTGCTAGTGAGCATGCGACTGTGTTCTGGGTGTGAGCTGGAGTGTGTCGACGTCACTGTGCTAGTGAGCCCGCGGGTGTGAGCTGGGTGTGAGCCGCGGTGTGTCGGTGTGACTGTGCTAGTGAGCCTGTGAGTGTGAGCTGGGTGTGGGCAGGAGTGTGTCGGTGTCACTGTGCTAGTGAGCATGCGACTGTGTTCTGGGTGTGAGCTGGAGTGTGTCGACGTCACTGTGCTAGTGAGCCCGCGGGTGTGAGCTGGGTGTGAGCCGCGGTGTGTCGGTGTGACTGTGCTAGTGAGCCTGTGAGTGTGAGCTGGGTGTGGGCAGGAGTGTGTCGGTGTCACTGTGCTAGTGAGCATGCGACTGTGTTCTGGGTGTGAGCTGGAGTGTGTCGACGTCACTGTGCTAGTGAGCCCGCGGGTGTGAGCTGGGTGTGAGCCGGAGGGTCAGCGACTGAGTTTGTGTTGCTGGGTCTGGTTGTGTAGTCTGGGTATGATCTGAATGTGCATGTGAGATGGTAAATCAGGTGGTGTGAGTTGTAGTGTCTGTCACTGCAAGTCCGACTGTGTTCTGGGTGTGAGCTGGAGTGTGTCGACGTCACTGTGCTAGTGAGCCCGCGGGTGTGAGCTGGGTGTGAGCCGGAGGGTCAGCGACTGAGTTTGTGTTGCTGGGTCTGGTTGTGTAGTCTGGGTATGATCTGAATGTGCATGTGAGATGGTAAATCAGGTGGTGTGAGTTGTAGTGTCTGTCACTGCAAGTCTCTGTGCTGCTGGGTCAGGTTGTGTATGAGTTCACAGCACCCCCAGCCGGTCC